ACTTGAGGTTGGGGAGAAGAAATGTTTTCATGCCTTTCAAAATGGCATACGTTCGAAATGAAACGTAACAGACTCGGCCGGAAGTTGATTTCGGCCCGTCGATTCCGTTTTTCACGCGAATAACCGTCAAGCTACCCGCGTATTCCGGAATTGCATATCTATATGCTGAATATCTATAAATAAGTGAGAACTATTGTTAATATATATCAGGTGTTTATGAATTGTAGGTGTGGGTAAAACATACATAAAAATATGTTTATTTCTGCTTTCGTGTAAACATCCCTATAATTAAAAACGTGCGTGCATCTATTTATCTCGGCATATCTGTGCATAATAGGACACCCGCACACACACAAACACACACACACACACACATATATATTACTGATGTGTATAAAGCGTAATTCTTATATATAAAATAAAGTTTATATATATGGAGTGCAGGTAATAAATATTAAATTTATTCAGAATCATTAAAGAGAAAAAAATCTTTGAGAGGAGAAATAACAAGAACATATTACACAAAGGAATTCAGGAATTTGAATAACAACAGGGCACATTTTTATATTAGAAGTAATGCGTTAAAAACTTGGAGAGTTGAGTTAAATAGAAATAACTGAGACATCCGGAAGAGGCATGGCACGTGGAACTAGAACAGTCTCCTCCGGTGAACGAAATAAAGGGTTCGGTTCGAAATCCCAATCGCCTGAAGAAGGCCAGAGCGTACAACGGCCGGAACGTTGTGAATATCGCAATGAAGATGAGGATAACAGTCCGAATAATGTGAATAATGCAAGTAAAACAGAAAGAAAAAACAAACAACAAAAAAAATGTTGAATTTCGATACACTTCGGAAATAAAAAAAAAATTGTCTTTGCGATAGAAGAAAAAAAAAAAATCAATTTTGAGTTTCATCCAAATAAATGTTCTTTTTATAATCATAGCCATTGTATACTGTACAACTTGACCGCGCACCGTGAAATAGATATTAAGGATATGGGACTGTATAGAGATGACGGGCTCATGGTAGTGAGGAGTTCTACTAGTGTTAAAATAGAGAAAATTAGAAAATTATATTTAGTGAATTTAAAAATCTAAACTTAAAGATAACAGTTTGTACTAAATTGAAAAGGGTAAACTTCCTCGACGTAACTCTAGATTTAACAAACAACACATACCAACCTTATAGAAAACCTATATATGCACCCGAAGTCAAACCACCCTCCATCCATGATTAAACATATAGCCTCATCAATAGAAAATAGAATCAGCATTAACTCCGCTAACAAAGAAATATTCCAACAACACAATAGCTTTTATAACGCTGCCCTAAAAAATAGTGGTTACAAGAATGAAAACATTAACTATAGAAACAATTCACTAACTAGAGGAAAAAAAACAGGAAAAGAAAAATCATTTGGTATACCTCTCCGTTCAACCAAATGATTAGTATTAAACTAAGACAGAAATTCCTCGCTTTAATTGAAAAACACTTCCCTACCAATAGTAGGCTTAGTAATATATTTAATAAGAACACCCTAAAATTGAGTTACAGCTGCACTGAAAATCTAGAAAGTATAATAAAAAAAAAACACAATAATAAAATCCTGAACAAACCTCCATGCCTGAATAGTATTAATAAAAACCCTACACTTAAATTAGACAATAACAGTGAAAAATTGTGTGATTGTAGAAACCCAGAAGACTGCCCATTAGAAAATAAATGCTGCGTCAAATCTGTGTTATACCAATGTACTATCTCATCCATTGAGAGTCCTAATACTAATATGATATACATTGGGTCTACGAAGAATGAATTTAAAGCCAGATGGAGGCAGCATAAGTGCTCTTTCAACAATATAAATAAAAGAAATCAGACTTCTCTATCTAAATATTTTTGGCATTTGAAGGAAATAAATAGGACACCTAAAGTAAAATAGAAAATTATAAACAGGACTAGAACTTGTAAAACTTGGGATGACCCATGCCCTTTATGCCTACATGAAAAACTACACATTATTAAGTTTCTAAATAATAAAAATCTATTAAACAACAGACATGAGTTAACGGTTTTTTGCCGACATCATCAAATCTTTGCATTGAATAATTAGCTTAAAAACAAACATACAATAAAATAATTTTTATAATCCATAGCCCTAATAAATAGTTTAAATACCCTACAAAAAATATAACCCTTTATAAAGTCGTCAAAAAACAAATATTACGACAGTTTTTATATACACAAAAACCTTTCATAAAGAAATAAAATAAAAAAATCTCCATAGACACGTAAACCAGACTAGGCGAAAACATCTTCCGTTTTAAATTTAGACACCCCCACCTTACCCTGACTTGACATCTATGAATGTAACTCTATACTGATACAAATTATTAAAACGCACACCCCTCCCAACTTAAACAATCGCCCTGGCTGTTACCATGGAAATTTTGATTTCAATTATGAATATGCTATTAAAACACATTTCAGAAATAAGTTATTCCCAAAAAAATTTCGCTTGAAGATGGAACAGAGCTTACTTTAACTCAATTTAATTCAAATAATTATATTGAAGTTTTCGGCTCTTGTTTTGAAATATGAGACCTCTTATGTAGCGTGTTGGAATCATATTTTTAAATAAATAATTATATATATATATATATATATATATATATATATATATATATATATATATATATGTCAGTGTAGATTTCCGAGAAGGAAAAGTCTGTAAAATGAGTAGAACGACTTACTGTGCCAATCGTGAGTGTTAGTGAGAATTTTCTAAACTATAGTCACCGGAGTCAAAATGAAATATGCTGGCCAAACAGCTGGAGTAAATCAGTGTTAATTTGATCGGCCTATGTCCGCTTCGAGACACCTAATCTTTATCAGCTTTATCGGCTCTTGTTTAAGAAGTTGTGTATGTTCGCATTGGTAAAAATCAAAATCGAAGAAAAACAAACTGTGTGTCATTGAGGTCATGAAGTGCAGTTTAGTGGATACTCCAAAACGGTGTGAAGATAGGGGGTCATATTTGACTTTGTTAGAAAGTATGTTGGAATGATAAATATGAAAAGTTGGTCATGATTTTTGGTCTCATTTTTAGAACTGATGAAATTAGAGGTACAGCATATATATATATATATATATATATATATATATATATATATATATATATATATATAGGTGTATATTTAGGCAGCAATCATTCCTTTATGCATGTTTCATTAAAAACGACAGACAAGGTACTATGGTTAAGGTTTTTATTTAATTTTTCTTGTGTTCGAACAAGAGCTTTCTTTTCTGGACAAATGGTGTGTAAGAACTGTCCAAATGTTTTATATTTCCGAGCGCTTTCGGCTATACCTTTAGCCATTATCAAGGATGATTCGATTTTTCAGCTTAATTGAGTGTGTGCTTTCTGTGTATGTCTTAATGTGTTGTAGGGATGTTTTTAATTTCCGAATACGGTTAGCACATTGTGGCCTTGTTCGTAGTTAATATTGTTAAGAGTTGTTTTTTTTTTCTTTTTTATTATTAAAGCTTCTATTATTTTTACTCTTTTTTCGCAGGTGGATGCACTTAATATATTTGTGTTTTCTACTAGTATGTTGCATCAAGTCTTTTCTTCATCTGTGAGGAGATTGTCCAGCATTCAGTGCCATACAGGTGGAATGATATTACATAACAATTAAGTACTCTTTGTTTCTGTTGCTTCAAGTCTTTTCTTCATCTGTGAAGAGATTGTCCAGCATTCACTGCCGTATAGGAGGACTGATAGTACATTACAGTTCAGTACTATTTTCTTTGTTTCCAACGTGATTTTTTTGTTTCTTAATATTTTGCTTAGATTTTGGAAGGCATCTTTCACTGATCTAATGTGCGTTTGGATTTCAGTGTCACACTTTCGGTTCTCTGTTAAAACACTTCCAAGACATTCACATTTTTGTAAATGCTTGATTTTGCCATCCCCAGTTTGTAATTCGCATGGGAAATTCTCTTTTGCTGATAACTACACATTGTATCTTGTAATTGGTGCTTAGTCCTTTCTTCTCGCTTTCCTTTACTACCTTCTTCTGTAGGATTTCCTGTAGTTTCCTTTCCATGTCTACTATCAACTGTGCATATCTTATGTTGTTAAATAATGAATCCTGAATGCCTATAACCATCCAATACTGGAAAAATTGAACAAATCTTCACTGTCGGAATTGCCTGCTGTTTTTCTGCTGAACGTGAATTGAATTATAAAGTGATTTTATTCTGACTGCTCTTCCATGTGATGAAGACGTCAAGATAAAATGATATAGTTCTCCGATTAACAATTCCGAGCCATTATCCATTACACGAACCGCACAGCCAAGCTTACAGCATCTGGTATTTACAAGCGGTTACCCATCTGGGTTGTCCTGGGTAAGACGATAAACTACGTCCAGCAGCAAGGCCTCTGGTCGGGTTTTGAGGAGCGTGGAACCACCTTTTAATTGCTGGTGTTCCCAGGGCCACCCTCACCCGGAATGGTAGCATCTGTTAGGGTCCCAACTGAGGGCAAATATTTAACCCCCAGCAATTAATTTTTTTATGAAAAAATATTACCAGCAATACATTTTTGAAGGAAAAAAAACTATTACCAGCAATACATTTTTGGAAAAAATATTACCAGCAATAAAAATTTTGTCGGCATTAAATAACTCCTTGACGTTGATAGGCCGTAAAACAAAACAAAACAAAAACCCATCTAGGTACTGATCAGAACAGTTATTGATTCGTTTTTTACGGTTTATCAACCTTTTGCAGGTTATTTAAAGCCAAAAATATTTTTAGATTGAAGGAATTTCTTTTTTAAAATAATAATGATTTAGTGATACAAGTCTTACTAATTAACCTATATCTGGAGGGGATTCATGCCTTTCCCAACGGTATATAAGTGAACCCAACGGGAATTGGATCTCCGGATCACTGATTAACAATTCCGAGCCATTATACGACCCGCACAGCCAAGCTTACAGCACCTGGTATTTCCAAGCAGTTACCCATCTACGTACTGAACAGGCTGGACGTTGCTTAACTTCGGTGATCATACGGGGGGGACTCTACTCTCCGATTAACAGTTCCGCGCTATTATCACCCGCACAGCCAAGCTTACGGCACCTGGTATTTCCAAGCGGTCACCCATCTAGGTACTGACCAAACACGAAGTTGCTTAACTTCGGTGCTTCGACAACGTAAGCCTAAACTGGTATGAAAATTGCGCTACATTCTGTAATGTTTGTGTATGACTGGCCTGACTTTTGAGATCGGCTCGAGAATTGCACAAAAGACCACAAACAGTACAAGAGAATGTATTATATTCAAATGCAGAAGGAACACTGTTCGATGTCTTATTTTGCTTTCGTGTTTCATGTAGTCGACTGATGCTTACTTCTTGAAGGTGCATTATTCCTGAATGGCAGATAGAATGATACACTGATATATTCATGGCTACCTCTTCAAAGTTCTTGAATGGAATGTTGATGCAAGAAAGGTAGCTTTTCAGTTTATAACTGAGCCAAGATCCACCAACATTTCTATGACCACAATGGAGTTCACTGTAGAAAAGAACTTTTGGCATGTGATCATCACTCATCCTTGACACATGGCCGGCCCAATGTAGTTGTGATTGCATTATGAACGTCTCCATGGTACTAATTTTGCATTTCACAAAAAGGTCGGCATTTGACTCTCGATAATCAAATGTTAGGCCAAAGATTGTACGGAGACAGTCTTTATGGGAGACATTTAATCGTTTAATGTGCTATCTATAAGGTGTCCAAGTTTCAGAGCCATACAAAAAGTTGACAAAAAGACAGCTTTGTACATTTGGATTTTAGTTTTATTCCCCTTTGATAAAATTTTGATCAATTTTATAATTGATAAAATTATTTTCAATTATATTCTCATATAATTGATAATAATTTTAGACGTTACTATTATTATTATTATTATTTTTAAAAGTATAGCAATATATTGGCACATTGTTGACGATCTGTTTACTCCGACATCCAGTGTAATATATATATATATATATATATATATATATATATATATATATATATATATATATATATATATAGATGTATGTATGTAGAAGGTTTAAATCAACGTGTCTGTTTTTTGCCTGGTATCAAATTAACTGATGTTTGTGACTTTTTGGGCTATCCATTGATAAATAAATAAATATCTAAGTAAAGAAATGAAATCACGAATCATTTTTTATACAAGTTCTCAGCATCGACCTATTTCCGTCGGGAAAAAGAGGAAAAGCCTCGCTCCCATAAAAAAACAAAACAATAAAGGATGATGAATAATAAATAAATAAAACTTAACTAAAGTATTTGAAAGAAATCTTATTTTCCTTTCAAACAGTTTAGGCTAAAAATATATTCAATAATGCTAAATCACACCTTTTTTTTCTTCCGAAAACACCAATAAAAAACAAAACAAAAATAGTCAATTTCCACCGCCATGACATGGCTTCCCTCTGTCTTTTCAAGAAATATTTTCATGGCAGTTATTCTAATGACCTTCTCTTTTGGTACCTCGTCCGAATGAATTTCAGCGTTCTAATAGATTGGCAAATAGGTCTCATTGTTTTATTGTTTAATTAGCTAGATGTAACAGCAAGTTATACTGTAAAAGTGTATTTTCTCGCACTTCTCGCCTGATTTTGCTTCTCTAACACCTACAAGCATAAAAATGCCACTAAGACGCAAGAATTTTTCTGGGAGTAAGAGAGAACGAGAATACCGTAGGAGAAAGAACTGGAAAGCCAATTCTAAAGAGGGAAAAAGGGATAAACCTCTACTCCTATCCAAAAGATGGTGAAGGAGGGTGAACCGGGCGGAATTATCTACTTCTAACAAAGTTTTCCAGAAATCGTACATTATAATTATAAATTACTAAATGCTAAGTATCCATCTCTTTACTAATTAAAAGTTCAACCAAAATTTATTTTTAGTAATGGAAAATATAAAGTCAAAATCAAAGAATGATCAATAATTGCCATGTCAGTCTTTGTGATCTCCCAAAGTTGGTTATTTATCTTCCATTTTCCTCTTTAGTACATTCCATTAACTTTCTATAATATTAAAGTCCGGAGACTGGCTTGGCCGATTAACCAAATTTATGATATCCATTTTTTTTTTTTAATTAAAAATGATTATTGGTTAACTGTGAAATATGATAATTTGTACCAGCCTATCAAAAAAAAAAAAAAAAAAAAAAAAAAAACAAAAAACAAAAACAAAACAAAACAAAACAAAAAACCCCAAAAAACAAACAAACAAAAAAAAACAAAAAACAAAAAAAAAGGGGCAATTTTTAATAAATTGGGTGTAGACTTTCCTCAAATTATATTATTTTAAATATAGCAAATTTTCAAAAATAATAGGCATTATAAAAATTATTTTGTATTTTCTCCTTTATTACTTAAAACAGCCACAATTATTTTTGGTATTCAGGAATATAAATTCAAACTCAAAGTATGATCAATGTACCCTATCCTTGTTGAATCTTTTCGATCTCCCACAAACTGATTAATAGTCACCAGTTATTTAGCTTTCCTCTTTAATGCTTTACAATATATATGTATTTATATATATATAAAATGCAAATGTCAATGTGTCACTATGCTACACTTCAACTTTACTCCTAGAGGCCGTAGCCCAACATATCATACCATTTTGGAATCAGGCCGAGACTCCGTGAGCAAATTAAAAACATTTCGCGCCGGATCTGAACCCGAAATCCTTAAATTTTGGATTCTAAAATTTTAATTACCGCGATTGTTTTCGGCGATTTTTTGTATGATAACAGTTTTTATAACTTTCAAATAAATTTGGGAATAATCGAAATTAATTGCGAAATCCAGCGAAAGTCACACATGAAATAAAAATAATTGTTTGTACGGAAGGTAAGGAACTACATGCATCAAACTGTCTTTAAATTAAGTGGCGACAGAAGAATTATCGTAGAACTTTTAAAAGGTATGCTTAAATATTAATCCAAAATTTAAGTGCAGCGACTAATTTTGTGTTCTTTTATAGTCTATTGTTGCCTACCGCTTCTGCTCCTCCCTTGCTTAAATGCCCAATAGGGCGGCTTTTAAGTTAGTATATATATATATATATTAACCCGCACACATCTCCTTGATTCACACCTGCATGCTTGCCCGCCATAGGCCACAGAAATAAAAAATGGCAACAAACAATAAAAGTCTTAGTTTGTTACTAAAGGTTACTTGCAAATATGCAGAATTGTTTATCATGAAACTTTCTCTTCTACTCTTAAAAAAAAAAATACTGATTACAGTTATTTGGGTTGACAACATCCTCATCGCTGCATAGTGTAATTCTGTGTTAATCTCTATACACCAGTTTTAACTATATTAGTGTTTGGTGACTTTAATGCTCACAATGACAGGTGGATTAATCACTGTGTTGACCTCGTTAGCATCTAAACTCTGATCTTCTTATGCAAGTGGTGGACATCACCATGCATTTTCCCCAGTAATCCTGCTAGACACGCTTCTCTTCTTGATCTCTTCTTTACCTCTATCCCTGACTAATGTCGTACTCTGCAGTTCTGCCCTCTTGGCAACTCTGATCATGCAGTGGTGTCTGTAAACATTTATTTCCGCTCCCCCACCAGCCAAGAACCTCCTACCAACAGGATATCTTTTATCGACGAACTGATCGGTATTCGTGCCATGACTTCCTTTGTGACGTCTCTTGGAATTCAGTTTTTAATCATCCTGTCCAAAAATTTGACTCTGAGTTCTCCTGTGTGAAAGCCGGCATCGAAGCTTTGATTCCAGTACAGAAATACCAAGTGAAACCACATTCATCTCCTTGATTCTTACCTACATGCTCGACTGCTATAGCCTATAAGAATCACTTCTTCCAGCTGTACCAGAGCGACATGTCTGATTGCAACAGACTTCTCTTTGTCTCTGCTTGTAATGAGTGCAACAGAATATCTTACTGTTATCAACAAGCTGATTGGGATTCGTTCCATGACTTCCTTTGTGACATCTCTGCCACTGCTACCCTAGGCCTTTCTTTACTAAAATAACACACCATGACTATAAGCAACCAAAGATATAAAACTAAACCAGCTCAACAAAAAACACCTAAACCCCTCAATCTTTCTTTCTCCAAAATTCATGGTATTCGTATCAACTTCTGCATTGTGGAATTGTTCCTCTTCGAAAAGTGTCCGGACATCCTAGCTCTCTGCGAAACTAATCTTAACTCTTCAATCCCTTCCTCTGATGTCTCGATTCCTGGCTATCTTCCTTTCTTTAGGAAGGATTCTAATGTATACATGCATGGCCTGGGAGTTTATGTCCACGAACATCTCCGCGAGCATCTCTCTTGAATCTTCAGACTATTCTTACCTGTGTCTCCGTCTCTCTCTACTAAACTCAGTCAGATATCTCTCTACTGTTCCCCTTCCTCTCAAGAGTGTTGCATGCTAGACAGTATTTTTGATAATATAGACAAGACCATCTCCCTACAGTCGTTTACAAATATATTTGCGTCGGTGACTATGTCAGGTGGCTTAAACAATCTGTCACTGACCTCGCTGGCATCCAAACGCTGAATTTCTCAATCATTCAATTTCTCACGCAAGTGGTGGACTTCCCCACGCATTTCCCTGGTAACCCTGACGGACACACTTCTCTTCTAGATCTCTTTTTTTACCTCTATCTCTGGCTAATGTCATACAATGCAGTTCTGCCCTCTTGGCAACTCTGATCATGTAGTAGTGTCTGTAAACATCTCTTTCTGCTCCCCTACAAGTCAAGAGCCTTCTACAAACAGAATTTTGTGCGGATTGGGACTCGTTCCATGACTTCCTTCGTGACGTCCCTTGGCATGATGTTCATAAATGCGAGTCTGAGGTTTCCTCTTGGGTGAAATCCGACATCGATGCTTTCATTCCAGCAATGAAATACCAAGTTAAACCGTATTTATCTCCTCCATGCGCCGCTGCTATAGCCCACAGCAATCACTTCTTCCGGCTTAATGGATGTCAGTTATCAGT